AGGAAAATACAAGTGAAAATGTCAAAAATTAGAAAAATCGTCAATGGCCCTAACAAGCCACCGTATAAATCAATATGTGTGGTTAATTTACACCACTGGAATATGAAAACATGGTGTATTATATAAATCACTGTCTGTGGTTAATTTACACCACTGGAATATGAAAACATGGTGTATTATATAAATCACTATCTGCGGTTAATTTACATCACTGGTATATGAAAACATGGTGTATTATACAAATCACTGTCTGTGGTTAATTTACACCACTGGTATTTGAAAACATGGAGTATTATAGAAATCAATATGTGTGGTTAATTTACACCACTGGAATATGAAAACATGGTGTATTATACAAATCACTGTCTGTGGTTAATTTACATCACTGGTATATGAAAACATGGTAAATCATAGAAATCAATATGTGTGGTTAATTTACACCACTGGAATATGAAAACATGGTGTATTATATAAATCACTGTCTGTGTTTAATTAACACCACTGGTATATGAAAACATAGTGTATTATATAAATCAATGTCTGTGGTTAATTTACATCACTGGTACATGAAAACACGGTAAATCATGAAAATCAATATGTGTGGTTAATTTACACAACTGGAATATGAAAACATGGTGTATTATATAAATCACTGTCTGTGTTTAATTAACACCACTGGAATATGAAAACATGGTGTATTATATAAATCAATATGTGTGGTTAATTTACACCACTGGAATATGAAAACATGGTGTATTATACAAATCACTGTCTGTGGTTAATTTACATCACTGGTATATGAAAACATGGAGTATTATATAAATTAATATGCATGGTTAATATACATCACTGGAATACAGAATTACTGTCTGTGATTAATTTACACCACTAGTATATGAAAACATGGTGTATTATAGAAATCACTCTCTGTGGTTTATCTTTCATTGTGCAAACACTTTAATGCACTGAGACCGTTGGTCTACTACTACCACATGGCCAAACGGCTTATCATCAGTGACACTAATACCTGCAGGACATTGCAATGCATCCTGGTCACTATCAATACGAGATACGAACACACCATGTGAATCATACTTCAGGACTCTGTTATTATTATAATCACAAACATACATATTGCCATCGTTATCACAAGCAACATCCAACGGACAACTGAACTCATTATTACCATTCCCCTGACTGCCAAAACTGAATAAGAACACACCATCAGAATTACACACCTGGATACGATGGTTGTTGTGTTCAGCCACAATGACATTGCCCTTGTTATCAATGGTTATTCCCCATGGATAGTAAAATTGACATTGCCCATTACCTTGAGAACCAAATGACTTGACATATTCCCCATCTTGTGTATAGATTCTAATACAATGTGCACTGAAATCACAAACATACACTCTGTCATTCACAGGACTGATAGCAATACCCATAGGGGATGTCAATTCCTGATTCCCAAAACATCTAATTACCTTACTGTTTTCATCACATACAACAACCTGTTTGTTACTATTATCTGTTATGAAGTAGTAACTTTCCTTTGATACTGCTACATGGCGTGGGTCAAACCTAGATGTAAAATTAGTGAACTGAAGAACACGTTGGTGTGTCCCATACAAAGAAAACAACTGAACTCTCTGATTACCTTGATCACATACAGCTGTCACACCATTCCCATCTACACAAACTCCCCATATGCCCCTAAACTGACCCATGCCTGAACCTTTTATGCCATATTTACATATTAACCCCTTATTAGGAATTATGGTAATCTGAGCCGGTGATCCCTCAACTGGTTTGTCCCACACTGAGACTGACAATTCATGTTTTCCTTCTACACTACAATGACATTTTAGAGATATTGTCCTGTCTTGGTTTTCTACAACTTTCACTTCCTGTACTTTCTCACTTGGTGAGCTCAGCTCAGCTCGGATCTCTTTTACGGCCAGTGGTCTGGACTGGTTACCACTGGTTGTCATAGAAACATTTATTTCTTCATTAATTCTAGCATACTTCGGCACATTTGTGATCTTAAAGTTGCATATGTGATAGAGTACGACTCCAAGGCTTTTGGTTTCATGGAAATCAGATCGCTGGAACTCAACATATTCCTCCTCTACTGGGTGTTGTTTGGTGTTAACTTCTATCAGTTGTCGTATCTGTGACGTCATACCCTTCTTTGCTGACATCATTTGTGCATCATTCCCATAATGCATTAGTTTTTTCCCAAAGTCACGTGCATGTTTCATATCATTCTCAGCTATTTCAAGTTCTTTAATTTGTGCTTGCAAATTTTGTTTCCGGGATTCGTATTCACGCTTCATCTCCACCATCAGGTGATTTCCATTTTCACGGATCTTGGCTGTGATTTCTTTAATTGTTTTTTCAGTGTGTTCATTCAATTTCTTCTCTTCTTTTTGAAATTGGTTCTTCAGAGATTCTGACGTTTTTTTCACTTCCTCTTTACTCACGTTTGCCTGCAGTTCTTTTTCTTGTAGTGTGTCCACCATTTCTACTAGGTACTCTTTATATTCTGATGCCGCATCATTCAGGTATCGGTAGTTATGCTCAGTCAGTTTATGGTCCAGAGCAGTGCACTCTAAACATATGGGGATATCACATGTATCACAGTAAAACTTGACTTGGTTGTCATGGTGATTGCTACAGTAAACTGGGGGCTGCACTTTAGCAGGGTCAGTGGCTCGTGTATTGTTGTACGTTTCAAGTGACATCAGACGATGATTCTTTAAACAAGAAAGTTGTTTATGTCCCTGCGTGCAATCGACACATAGTCCAACTGCACAATCCAGACACCAAGTCTGGGGTGCTGCTTTCAGGCAACTGCCACATTTGACTACTTTTGTAGAATCGCCACCTCGTTCATTTTCAATCAACCCAGCGAGTTCAGTAAGAAACAAATTTTTAGGGATACTTGCCAGTCCGTCGGTTAGGTCGTGACCCCTTCTACATGTGGGGCATAGGACGGTCTTCCCACCGGCTTTCGCAGCCAGCTTACCGATGCACTGCTCACAGAAGCTGTGTAAACACGGCAGAATTCTCGCATCTCTGTATCGCTCTGAACATATAGCACAGATCAGGGAATTTTCGTTGAATTCATCCAGTAGTTTTGACTCAGCAGTCGCCATATTGCCGTAGCTGTAATCGCTTTGAATGTTCGATAATATATTGATCGGGTATGAGGCCCCTTAAGACCAAGCAAATTGTCATTACATAGTTTTCCGTATATAGTATGGCTACCTGCTTTACTACAGCCTTAGAAGGTAGAAGGATTGAATCTCACACACTTCTGTCTAGTCCTGAGTCATGATATAATTTTGGATGGGCTATATTTGAAGACTTTGCTTTCACGCGCTCCATTTCCGCCACAGGTAGATAGTTTTGGATCATACGACATATGGGTTATTTTCAGCGGACACCACCATTTACAGTTATTAATCAGGTTATTAATGTTGTTATTAAGGTGTTCGCTTGTATTTGACCTATGAATAGCGGAGAAATATTGACCACAATTCTTTTGTTTTGAAAGTGAAGTTTCACATAATTATTGAGTGATTTAATTATTAATTTTGCGTAGTTTAACTTTTTACGAAATCTGACAACTGACAAAATGCAAAAAATGCCCATTTCTCATGGGAATTCATGTAAAACCATTATTCTATAAAAAAATAGTATAGTATTGGGAAAAAAACATATGCTGATTTTTTCGAGATTTTTACATATGGAAACATTTTAAATGGCTCATAAATTATCATTTATCAAACCGTGATTTGCTCTAAAAGTAGTTCGGTGACCTAGCTACCATTTGTATGCTGTGAACAACAGCATATAAAAACATATTGTAAAAATCATGGAAAACTGGTCAGCCGTTTTAATGATAGCCAACATAAACTATTGGGCCTCAATATCGAGTTTTGTGTACCCTGGACTGGGTACGTGAATTTATAATGTACTCGTCACTCAGACTCAAGTATGTGATAAATATCAGTGGCCTAAGTGGTCTTATTTCGCGGTGTATGTAAACGAGTACGCGGAAATTCGATGAAGTTCGGAGAATAAGTTTTGTGTTCGATGTTTAACTTTGCATGACTTTGAGATCACGTTAATTGCTAATGCATGGATATACGTCATGCACAGGAATTAGTCAAGTCGAAGAACTGGGTTAAACTGGTTGACATCGGGAGGGGTCACAATGAGGTCACGACGACTCAGACTCAGACGTGTTGACAGACATTGTTGCTCTTTTTAAAGAAGAATGCTGCTCACTAGACAAAATAATTTCATTTTCTTTATTTTTAATATGTGAAATTTTATGTCACGCGGATAAATAAAATTAAATAAAAATATGGGTTGAATATAGAATGTTCCGTCCGTCATTTTACTATTGTTTCCTTGAATTGAATTCAGTGTTTATAATTTCTTTATTTGAATAAAATATATCGAATCTTAATCGAATAAAATTTAGGTAACGAAAGTAACATTATTTATAAATAATAAAGTGCACATAAAGATATTAAATAAAATATTACGAATCTGTTTATTTAAAAACACAGCCAGCACGTTTTATTTCTGTATGATTGATTTATGATATTTATCTATTAATAATGAAAAAACACCGCATTTTTCGCACATAATGAGTTTCAACCCTTAAAAAAGCTATATAAATAATTGCACAAGCCGCATCCCATAATCGTTGATCATATTACATTGAAATTCGTTGTCACATCGTCTTATTCAACACTCGGTATGACTTGTATTTATTAAGTGACACATTCTCGTCC